GTTCATTTTTTTGATCCCGTTTTCTAATGTGGAACTTCAGTTTTTCTTCAGAATGCTTTTTCAAAGGAGAGAATAAGTATTTCTCGGCTTCGAAGGATGATTGCTTTTATGTATACGGAAAAATGACTGGAGACAACTATGAGTTACCAATGTTTTATGTGAGATCTATCAATAATTTTACTAAATCACTCTCGTCCTGAGAAACGTTTCCTTCTGTTCCTTACAAAGAGAGCAGTAATTTATTGAGTGGAAACTAGAGTGGAAACTAGCCGCTAGCTGAGACCCTAACAATAAGGAGGAGGTTGAAAAGCTGGGTGTAGTGATAATGATAGCGCTAATTCAGCATCCTACCAGCAAAAGTGACAGATAGGTGAGTGTGTGGGTATGTGTGTGTATGCATGTGTGTGTGTATGTATGTGTGTGTTGTGCGTGTGATCGGGAATACGCGTCTACTCCTGGACTCGAGTCGTCCAAAGTTGTAAGGATAAGAAATGTAAGGAAGTAACGATGAGGGACACAAAGTGATGCCAACTAAAAATGGCTACTAACAGAGAGTGGGCAGTGAACAGCTGGAGTCATCGAGATCACAAATGGTTTTCGTGCTAAGAGAAGAGCATTGCTACATAAATGTATGATTTGGAGTGTAGATTATCTTTCTTGTCTATAGAGCAGTAACTTGGTGTGTCGATTTGTCAATTTGCCTGTCTGTCTATCCGTGGACCTTTATGATAATGATAAAGGTAGTGATATGGAGAACTCAGCTCTAATCTACATTCCCCTCTTATATATGTATCCGTAACTTGGTGGGTAGGTCAATGGAGTAGAATGAGTACTGCGGTGTGAAGTGAGTAGTGTGGAGTGGAGTAGATATTTTAAAACCGTGATTTCGATATGTACTGGCATCGTGCTAAGTACGTGTTTACAAAAGTGGAGGTGATATTGTAGTTGGGAGACCTTCGCTTCTTCTTCAACGCCGGGAGCTAGAGCGCAGATGAGGGACCCGTAATTGTGCTCAGAATACTTTCTTAGACGAGGATATGCAGTTTTTTGAGCTAAGCATCAGAAGGAAAGGAGCACCGGGGTGAGTGAGTCGATTGTCTTTATCCTAGAACCGTCTCTAAGCTAACAAGGGAAGGATCCCAAGTCGAAGTGGCCATTTGAAATGAGACCTATACTGCTAGACGTGTTTTTTGATGCTGATTCCAAATCTGTATTCAAAATCTGCCAAACGATTCTCTGAACGAAGTTATGGAGGTGGTCT